ATTTCTATTTCTTATTGACTTCCATAGAGTCTTCTGTTCTCCTATTCTTTCTAATACCTCTTCATTTCTAACCTTCTCTATCCACGGTATCCTCATCATTCGCCTGTAACACCACATTTCGAACGCTTCTAACCTTTTTTTTCCGCAGCGCCCATCGTTTATGTTTCGCATCCCTACAGCACCGCGCTTCAAACATACACCTTTAACAACCTTTTTCGAATTTCTAAATTCTACGATCGCGGGCATAGAAGTGATTTCTTTTTATTGAAGGCGACTTGACCTTACACTATCCTCTGCTTTATATCCCTACTCCTCTTCCATCCTGACTATCTGACTTCCTAGATACCTAAAATCAGCCACTTCTTCTAATTTTCTGTCTCCTATCTTTATATTCGTTCTTTCTCTATTTTTTATTCCCTTCTTCTTCTTTCCCCATACCAGTATTTTTGTGTCACTTCTCTGTATTTTCATACAGTACTGTTTTTTCAATACCGCTTCCATTTTATTTAAAGCTATCTATAACTCCTCCTTGTTAGGTGTTAATACTGCTATATTATCTGCAAATTTATACATACTAATTTTCTGCCCCTGTATATCTATCGCTATAGATGCCTGTTGCTCTTTATACAATTCTTCATTTTTTTTTTCATGAAGCGCCCAATTCAATCTAAATCTTCTTGTGCATAAACGAAGAAGGAACGAATTAAATAGAAATAGGAGAGCTGCTGAGTTCTTATAAGTGAACCGTCACTGTTATAGATAGTTATCTTTCAACGCTAAATTAGTAAATAAATCAGCAACGAAATTCAAAAATACTTTACTTAGCAACTGTTCTTCTAATTTTATGCATTAGTTTTGAATTATCAGCAAAGATTTTTTAATTGAATAGGTGCTGCAATTTCAAGAGGTGCTTCAAACATCACAAAAACTCTACAAGACATTTCTAATGAACTGCACGAAAATACCGTTCAACCACTGAACCGTTTAGAATGGTATCTAAAGGAGTTCACACCCTTTAGATACTACATAGGTCTTGGTGCTAGTGCCATTCTCCTGTTGGTCACTCTCTTCGTCGCTCTTGGTCTTATCTGCGGCATTTGCGGCAAGCGGCCGGATGCCTACAGCGACGATTGTTGTAACAAGGGTGCAGGCAGCAGATTTTTGATGACGTAAGTTGGGAATAATTTAGAATAAGTGTTTCCGGTATTAACGCTCAGGCGAGTACAAATGTTACGTAAACTTGTCTATTACAACAGAATAAAAAAGCATTTAGAATCATCGTCAACCAAGACAACTAAAAAAATAACAAAACATTTAAGCTTCTAATGAAGCCATGTGTGCGTCAGGTTTGAAAATATTCAAATTTAAACGCTTCATCGTTCCGTGAAGTAAAAGTGCTGGCAATAGTCACAATTAAAAGTTTTTTTGTTACTGTCGAAAACTGATGTGGAAAAAAAAAATGAGAAACATTTTCATTTCATCTTTATATTATATTGTTCCTCTCTGACAGATATGTCTTGCGCTGAAAACTTGCCTGCGTTACGATTTTTACACTTTTATTAATCATTATAGAATTTTAAATTTGACCGTGGGAGAGGGGATATGTGAATCTAAATAGTATATACCCTCCATTAAATGTGAAACGTTAATTAAACGATTATAGAACTCTTCTCTTTCGTAATGTTGTTGGGGAAGGTTAATTAAATACTGTTAAGGGATATAAAGCAAAAGTAGATTACAAGGAAATACCACGAGATAATTCTACGTTATTGAAAGTTGATCCTGTATGAATAGGAAAGGAAAATGAATGACTTTAAATTGATACGACGTTGTAATTAGAAATGTACTGAGTAGTTCAAATTTACCAAAACATGCTGTCATTGGGGTCAAATGCTAACAAGGTCTATGGTTAAGGCTATGCGTAAACGTGGACGCCTGTTTGTGTAGAACGATATTAGCATGCGTCTAAATGGATATTTTATCACTCATGTGCCTCCAGTCGAGGTATGCGGCGTAATCCCGTAGGAAAAATTTCCATTCAATTTCTATTAAAAAAATTCGATTAAATTACCACTGATAATAATTAATGGTAATAAATGGAGAATTGCCAATGGGATTCCCATTCCCGAACTCAATGGGATTTCCATTGCTGAACTCAATCCCATTGCGTTCCATTGGAACTTCATCAGCATGCCTTTTTCCATAATCCATATTATTTTGTTGAGAATTTGGTTCCTCAGGTACCTGAACCAAGGCACTGGCTCTTCATCATTGTGTTTAGATTTTTTTTCACTTGGTTCTGATAAAACTACATCACTCTCACAGATGACTTCGGCCTCCTCTATATTTTGGCATGGTTCAAAATCATCAAACAATGCTTTTAATGTAGGCTTTTTCACTTATGTAGGGGTTGTTTAATAAAAGGCTCCGGGTAGTTGAATACATATATAAGAAACATAATGAATATAAACAGCAAACAGCAAAACGAGTAACAAACAGGAACTAAATATATACAACTTATATACAATATTGAATGTATCGCGTCTTCCAAAATACATACGTCTTCGTGTAATCACCATAAATACGTCTTCCGTCTTTTTTGAGCAAAAATGCTCAACGTCTAAATGAAATACACCAGTTTAATCAAACATCTTACTACCTTGCTTGTCTCTCACTCTACTGCCATGGTGGTCCCTCACGTACCCCCAACATGCACGCATGGGTAAAACTAGATTATTGATTTTCGACCACCTAATTGGCAATATCACTACTCTTGCACCTGGGCAAGCAAAAACTGTATCGGAAAAGGCTAATAGTATATGTGGCCAGGAATTATATTGTAAATGGAAACAATTATTTTTCCATTTATGCCAAATGGTTTTAAATGGAAGTTACAAATTTTTCATTGATTCCCATTGAAGTTCAATGGAATTTTTTTCTACGGGGAATTATTGTAAATGAAAACAATTATTTTTCCATTTATGCCAAATGGTTTTGAATGGAATTTACAAATTTACCATTGATTCCCATTGAACTTCAATGGAAATTTTTCCTACGGGATGTGGGGGATTCCACGACTACAACCATTTGAAATCAGCATATAATAATTTTCTAACAGTCTTGTGCCATTCTTAGATTTAAGTAATAGTCGTAACTTTCAAATTTTTCTAGTCCATGAGATTCCTACTTGTTATTTTAGGGCTGTTGGAATAATGTTCCTGTTCTCCCTTGTACTAGCGGTTATCACAATAATCTACTTCCTAACCGGGATATTAGCCCAACGGATGGTTTGTGACTCTCTTCGTCAACCAAGGGAGAGCAAAGTGATCTCGCTTTTGGACGACTTTCTTCAAAATCGTTTCGAGTCGTCCAATTTGAAAATTAATCTCGCTAATATTATAGAATCTTGTCATAAGAATGACACCGTCTACAACGTGTTAGGGCTTAAGTCAGTTTTTAACGTAGACGATGTCACTAATTATCTTGACAAGTTCAATATAAACGAAACTTTGTCGGAACTGACTTCAAGAATCCAAGCTAATACGTCAGTTACAATTTTTGATGAAGCTGCTCAAAAGCAACTAACGGAATTGGTGGAATCAGGAATAGCCGATATTGGATACGACAAGTTTATTGAAGAGGTGAGGAGTATTTGTTGATTTCAAGCCTAATTTATTTAATATCATATTTAATTTCATTTGTAGTTGAAATTGTCTCAAAATTTAACGTCTATAAGTCTAAACTTCCTGATTGAAAAATTAGAAGAAGTGATAAAAGCAGTGGAAGATAAACTGGACTACTCTCACGATGTTGCCACATCTCTTCGACTTAGCACCTTCCACCTTTACACTTACCAAACGATGCTCGTGGAACCGATGACTGCCAAATCCAAACAGATGATGGTGAGTTGATTAGCGATGAGTTTCCAGATGTCTTCAGTAGTTTTTTATAATGACACATTTCAGTCTGTTGCTGAGAATTTAAAGGAGAGCCTTAAATTCGGTAAAAGCAGCTTTGAGGAGGCCATACAAGACTTGATAACTGAATTGGTAGAAGCTCAAAGTTATTTACAAACAGAAGGACCCACCACCCTCCATGAGGTAAGACTTTTCATTGCAATTTATGTTCAAGGCCTTTTCCGTTTTTTGCTTATCAACTTTTGCTTGCATATAATTATCTTTTTTATCAGCAAAAACCATAATTATAAAACATTAATGCTTCATGAGAGCAACATTTTCCAATAACTCTTCCAACTCTTGACTTCCGTATGAGTGGTCTCGCATCTCTGCACCAGCAATCGAAGACTTAAGAGACTCTAGCGGAAGGACACTTTAGTCACAGCTTTCATGGAACAAATTGAATGTTTTAACCTTTAACTTTCCAGATTGCCGTGAACTTCATAACGAGTATCGAAAAACAAGTGAGATCCTATTTGAATCGTGTTGTGACCAACACCCAGGATACGGTGGGTGACTGTTACCCGGCCAGTTTAGTATTGAATTCCACCCTGGTTGCCACGTGTGATAAAATCCTTTTGCCTTTGGTACGTTTAAAAACTCGTGACATGACTGATTAACCGAAAAATTATTTTGGTTACAGAACGGTCACTGGTTCAGCATACTCTGGAGTCTCATAATATTTATTCCAACAATAATTCTCTCCATCAAATTGGCAACCCTTTATCAAAAGTACGAGCCGTATCCGGGGGCTTTAGTCGAATCGTAAGTCAACTCAGCTTCTGTTTACTTGAAGGTCCATTTTATTGCTTTCTCGATGGCTTAATGATGTTTAGTGTCGTAGTAATCGATGGTCATTCTGTACTTGTACATACATACATACATACATACGTGCATAAAAGACGTATCTGTTTGTTTTATGCTCTGCCCTTTAGTTTCAGTTGGTTCTTTTCGTTTGAATTTTGTTTTGTTGTTACTTATGTTGTTTGTGTTGTCTTTACAGCGAATATCTGCACGATGTGTACACGGACAGAGACAACATTCCACTTCACAGGTAACTCTTTGATATGGTTTGATCGATTAACGATCGAACATAGATAAATATGTGTGTATGTGTATATTAAACACTACTATTAGCGTAGTATCTCTGTCATCCTACCTCCCCCACCACTTTCTCTCAACTTTTGGTAAATAATAATAAGCCTACTAATTGATGACTGTACTTACCCTGGAAGTGTTCTTATTTTCTTGCTGTGGGTGTGTTCTTATTTTCCTGCTGATAACAGAAAATTTTTAAATAATCCTTAATGGGTGGCATGAATGCTACAGGTTTCTGTAACTGTGGAGGTTGAGATAACAAAAACTAACTTGGTATAAGTCAGATAGAATTAAGAAGTGGATGATGTCTCGATGTTACAGCAGACGAATAAAATAGTAGTAATACTTATTCCATTCCGAGTGTGTTCTTATTTTCATGTTGATATAAGAAGATTGTTGAATAACCCTTAAATATGCCATCAGTGTTACAAATTTCTACAATCGTAAACGTTGACTGATAGTAATAACGAAAACGATTTGGATAATTCAGGGTGAGTTTGCACACTTGTTTTTTCAAGTTACTGAACTAAAATCTATTCTCGTCACCTGCATCATATCATCCGACATCGTTGGGTGAGTTGGTACAGCCACTACGGGTGAGATGGTTCACTAGAAAAGTCTGAGATTTAATGGTAAAAACGTAAAACCCTTCCGCACATGTCAGAAAAATTGACATACTTTGAGCAGTTCTACATGGAACTATCTCATTGGAGGCACTGCATCCAGCCGTCTTCAGAAAGACTATCTATCACTAGATTCCTGCAGAGTAAAATCTGAATTGTCGTCGCCTGTTGTTGACTCATTTGTAACCGCTTTCTTCACTACCTTTCTCTTTTTCTTCTTTGGTTTAATCTTTTCGCCTGTTTTGATTCTCTGACGCCTTTTCGTTTTTCAATTTAATCCGATGATTTTAACATGGCTGCCACCTGCTTCGTTCACTTCCGAGACTTTTCAGTACCAGTGGAAGATGTACCTGGTACAGGATTAAATTTGTCTAACATGGTTCCTGGGGTATCATTTTCTTGAACTGCTCTTGGACTTTGGTCGTATTTTCCTGAACAAGCCTGCTGGTTGCTGAATGGCTTTCTCTCTCTCTTCCTAGACGGATGATAAAGTACCATACTTTTCTATTCTACGAGACAGATGGTAGATGAACCGTCTCTCCCTTAATGTTGCTGTGCCATCTCTCCCAATTTTACAGGAGAGTCGTCACAGGTAATTTTCGTTAAATACAACACAAATCTGACAACTTCTCAACAATTCTCACGACCACCTTGATCTTAAAACACTCATCACTTAACCTTCATATGCTTTAACGCCAAAATCTTTATCCTATGATGCAACACGTGTACAGTACTGCCGTTGATTAACAGCAACGAGCTCAAGTATTGTCGCGAAAACTGACAACTTTCCCAGTGTACATTCTCTCCCGGAATTACCCTAATATGTTAGATATGAATAAGAATGGATGAGGCATCATCATCATGAGGTCGTCAGTCTTAAGAGTTGTTGGACACGCATCTCCACTCTTTCCTAACCTGAGCTAATCTTCGCATTTCCCTAAAACTAGACCATCCCACATATCCTTAACTATTTTTGAACAATAATTTAATCTAGGCCTACTTCTACCCCTCCTAACTTCCGCTTCTGCCTATAATATGTCTCTGAGTAGACCTTCATGCCTGAGAAGGTGTCCTACCAACCTATCTCGCCTATTTCTTATTGACTTCCATAGAGTCCTCCGTTCTCCTATTCTTTCTAATACCTCGTCGTTTCTAACCTTCTCTATCCATGGATGTGGCATAAATGGTATTAAAAATATATCGATGCTATAACAGATGACCAAAATAAAACAATAGTAAAAATGGTAATAACAACACTTAATCTACTTGTTTATTGAATAAAACTGGCAGATTTCGATTATCTTGAAGTGATGTATCATTTGTTCTGATTTCGATAGGATTTAGATAGTAAATAAGTTACGTATAAATAGATTTTGGGTGATCTGCTTAGGCTTAGTGCTATTCTCACTAAATACATAGCTGTGTGGGTTTTCACAATTTCTTCATCTGGGTCTCGCCATCAATGCAGAAGTATTTGGTCGTTATTTAGTGTAGATACGTTTTCTTTAGTAATTTTTCCTTTTTTTTTAACCAGTAGCTGCATACCATTTAGTTTTTCTTGCACGTCATCCGATAATTTTGCCAAGTTTTTTCATTTTGTTTTTTGTTGGTAATATTTAACCATCTAATCAGCACCTTCGTTCCGTGCTGTGCCGATCGATAATTTTAACGCAGTGGTTTTTAGCCCAAGCGGAAAATATGCCAAGAAAAAACAGAAAAAGAAAAGTAAACGTTTAGACGGCAGAGGGACGTATGTTGCAGAGGGTACTGAAAGGGCTGCCCCCGTTGCTAGCGGCTCTGCATATCCCGAAGCTCGATACGCTGATATGGCCCCAAAGTAAGTGTTAGTGTCTAAAAAATATATATTTTTTATAATTAAGAAAATTGCCCCCCTTTGTTTTGTGGAATCAGTTTAGTATAGTCTACACCTAACCTAACCTAACCTAACCTAATTTGACATGAACCCTCACCTATTATTCTTGACTGAACGTTTTTAAAGAAAAATTGCGTTGGAAACTAGTAGAATGCTTTGGATTGCTTCTATTTTTATTAGAATTTCCATCAGTACCTATTAATATCCATTCTCAAAAAACTAGGCACTAACTGTGCGCGAGTTCAAGGGGGCATATGGTGCAAAACGACAAACAAGTCTAAAAAAAGTGAGCATAGTCACAATAAAGTGACAAGAATCGGATTAAATTGTTTTGTCAAGTGTATCACCAAAATGGTTCAAACAAGTATTACCTAAATAGATAATGGATCGTCTCCTGTACAGAACTAAATTTGGCGAAATTCATAGTACTTAAAAAATGTTTAAATGCATCAAAGATAAAGCGATTCATGGCGTTTCATTCCCGTTTAGTATGTGACGTCACGACAGTCCTCGTCGCTGGCAGTGGTACGCTCGCAAAATGCTTTTCTATGCAATGGCGGTGTTCAGTGTAACCAAAGTACTTTTGAGCTTAGTTTGGCTTTAATTTCCCTTTTTAAGATACAGAACTCTAAAGATTAGAACCTTAAAATTTAATGTAGATGCCTGTTTAGATGTACAATATGCTTTGTTTATCATAATGATAAGTGTTAGGCCAGTTGTCCACGAAGCCGACCTAATTGTGATCGGACGATGACTGAAACGGACCGGATCGTATATAAAGCTACCACTAAAACGATGTTAATCGGTCAACCACATTGAGTTTTTCTTAGATCGCGTGCAATTAATGCATTTAGACATGATGTAGACTTCAAATGAAAAGGACGTTGTAATTATGCTTTTGGGTGCATCCGCACATTAATAAAAATGGGGATAGATGTGTTTTCATATGTGTGTGCGTGTAAACTCCTCATTTACAACGACAGATCCGAATCTATGGACCGAACGTCAAAAAAATGTTTCCGAACGCTTGCAACGTATGTGCGTACCATGGTAAAGACGTGGTTTTGTCGCGATCGTCATAAGTCGATGGTGTTACAGTATCGTCCAACTATCGTCGCTCCGATTTTAGTCCGATCGGCTTCGTACAGAACCGGCTTTACTGCTTTCCTATCCGGTCGATTTGTCCTTTTACTCTTCCATTTCCTGATGTAAATTTAGAATTATTTTGCTTTTGAATGACCGTCGTGTAGTATAATAATTGGGTCTGTCTTGTTACTCAGACACTGGGAAGATTTTCCCAATGGAGGACCACCTCAGTACCAAAGAGCCCCGACCGAATACGAAAGACCACCCCCGTACTACTTTCCGGGAACGTAAGTCTTTTAATAAAATTTGCTTTATACGTGTAATTGTGGTCTTCCTTCTTTTTGTTGTCCTTGTTCGGCGAAAGGCATGGGCAGAGTACCGTTTTATGTACCTTATTTTCTTCTAAATATTTATATGAATGTTTCATAATCTAATTGTGTAAATTAGTGATTGTTTTCATCACGCATCTTTTATACTTTCAGGGATCAACAACAGTAAATCAATAATATTGAATTAAAGGATCGAATAAGGGTTTCGAAATGAAAAGACTACCTAGACTGACATTGATTTAATTATATATTATACATATATGTAGTTTTTCGTCGAAGTTTTGTAGTTCGGTAGTTTTATTTATTAATTCATTCTAAGTAATATTATAAACATTGATTAATATTAGTCACGTTTGACAATGATAAAGGAGGAAAAAAATTATTGTTATCCATTACTTTGTAAATAGCGGTAATAATATGTTGAGTTGCCATAACGATCGAATGGCACATAAATGAAATTATTGAATTATCTATTGTGATATACTTGTATTTTAAGGTTTGTATTCGCTTTAGTCAAATAATTAATTAATTAATGAATCGATCGATGAAACGTCTTCATGTTGCCGTATTCGCAAGAAACGTATTTGCTCAAGGTAAGTTGTTTTTTTATGTAGGAGACTACGCGGAAATGTTAGAACCAAAGCATTTGTAGTACCTATAGTAAGTACATACATTTATACCTCGAAACACCTTTTAAAAACATTTTTAGTGTCTAGTGTTGCCATTCTATGTCATCTGTTTATACATTTCAAACATACACTCTATTGCTCACGATCATTGTTATCGATTATCTATCGTTCATCTGTTTCAAACGTAGAAATGACGTGTGGCACAGTATTTTTTCAAATTCCTGTTTGGCTTCTGATGAATTTAACTGAGATTAAACTAAAATAACGTTTTATTTCTTTTACTAGTGATGAATTCACTTTTTTTTTGTAATTACTAGGAATATGCAAAGGGGAAGTAATAAGGTAATATATTTTGTCATAAAAAGCCATCACTATTTTCACATACATATACACATGCTTATTATCGTAGTGCAAAAGAAATAATCGTAATTGTACACCTCTCCATGTTATTTTTGTCGTACTTTCGGAATTATCACATAATGTAATTGTCCTAAACCAATTTATTATAAATAATGTATTATTCGTCCATTTCCGCATCGATTTAATCAAAAAATCTTTATAATTATTATTGGAAAAAACAAAAGCGGAACGTATGAGATTTTATTATTACTATACTAATTGATAAACAATAAATAATTACTAATTACTGTTAGTGAATCGTTAATTTTATGTTTATTTTTGTGTATCTGTGTACTTTGTAAAAAATGAATGAATGTAAAATATAAGAACACAGTAAATGGTTTTATTTTATCCTTTTGTTAGTCATTTATTTTGTTATTAACTTGACGAAAGTAAAATAAAATGAAGTATATAAACGTATGTCTGCTTTTTGGTCCGCAATCCACTTTAGAACCCCTTTTGGAAGAATATGTGTTAATTGATGAACGTAACTCGGTGTGGAATTGAGTTGTTATCAATTNAGTTAAAGGGATGCCCGTAGAGTGGCGAAAATTATCTGTGACTGTGAAATCTGTAAAAATAATGAAAATTATAGGTATAAGGGGATATAAAATAACGCACTATTTCTTCACTAACAATAACACTGAACTTTATTAAATAATTTTAAAAATACACTATGTCAATAAAAAAAAATTAATTGTTGAAAAAATACGCGTACAAAATATGTTATATCCCGCGGAGAGTATGTTTGTTGAGATGCTGTTTTGTGCGAGTGACAATGAACGACTGCTTTTAGAGGAAAGCATTTTAGGTTTTCGGTAAACAAAAAAAGACTAATACGAAATGTACGAGCAAAAATAGCCCTTAAAGACACAAAATAGAGCAACAAATCATTCAACTATTACTGAGAATTCGAACTTGCCGGACCATCATAAAAATGGTTAGTGAAGGGTCTCGACAAAAATTACCTGCGGGTGAATGGTGAGGCTATTTTGAACGTTTGAAAAGTTTTGAAAAAAGATTCGTTAAAGTGAACAATAGGCATATATGGAAAACATCCCGGAGGATGTCAATTTCCTTTGTTTATTTGCACTGAAACAAGAGGCAGATTAAGTGGCGAGCCCGCTCTAGGCTAGCACCTCATAGGCGCCCCTCTGGCGGTCATATATTTTGCAAAATACTTTTTTTTATTAGGTACTTCCTTATTATATGCCTACTTTGCCTTATGGATAATCCGCCACTGACTGAAACACTTATTTCGATTTCGATGCGCAGCAGATTTATTATAGCAATCAATAAAAATTAATAACTTACCTACTTATGGTGTATCGGTGAACAAAATATCGTAGGTGTATGACTTAATTGCCCACCCCCCTCCCCAAATAGTTTTTTCGACCTCAACTTTGAAAATCGCTTTAGATGACAAGGCAACATCCGCACTTGTGTTTCTTATTAAATATACATTGGTAGCGATGCAACGGAAGTGTCTTAACGGAAACAGAAGTAAATGGTAAAATTTTGCGGATGCGGAAGTGTAATGATTTCGGATGATTCTTTAACGCACTGGTCATGCGCCCTTTTTGACTTCAAAATTGCACTGTTAACTTAACATTTACACCACTGAGCAAACACTAGATATACAAAATGAATAAAATAAAATAGAAATGAAATTATTAGAACATGCAGATTTGCAACGAGCAATTCCATTTAAATTGTGTTTTGAAAACGGCCAAGTTCAACTAACAGATAAAGGTAGCAAATTTTTACAACTTGTTTTCTTGCTCCGATATATTTATTTTCAAAATGGCGAAAGATCCGATAAGCTTCCATTATAAAAATACGGAAGCAGATGCAGAAGCGGATATGAAAATGTATGCGGAACTTCTGTAATTGCAACACAATACGTAGGTAATGAACAAATAAAAAAATTAATGGGTGATTTTGGGTTTGAAATGCCACACTTGCGTTTATGTTTTGGGTTTTCCAAAACAAAAAAAGTGTATTTTAAATAAAATGCAATATGTTTTAAAATAATAATGTATTTTGTTTTATCACAGTTTCTCTAAAAAAAAGTTATCTAATAAAAATAATTAATACAAAAATCTGTTTTCCGCTACAATGATGCAGAAGTAAAGGATTGTCTTCTAGACCTTTACCCATAATTTATTTAAAATTGTAATGTTACTTTTTTATGTCCTAATCCTCGTTTTATACTACATATAACAATGCATAAACTTCACGAACAACGAGATGTTCCATTTAAAAAAGTTCAGTTTCGTCCCATCGCTACACTAATAATGTAGAAGTGTCAAAAAGTTACATTAGAAAACAGTACACTTAACTAATTGCTGTTTTCGGTTGACAAAAAAAGTCGAATTAAATTGTGGCTGTTTTCCACCACTTAGTGCATACGTGTTTAAAATCAGATAGAATTCCCGTGATTTATAAATGGCTTTTTGAGCCCGTTTTCAAATGCCAACGAGTCCCTCGAAAAAAAACAGGAACAGTTATATATCTCGAAGTGGAAAGGGCCAGATTAATTTTCGAGTCAAGCTCGACATGCCACCTTAATTGCCTTCTCTTTATTGCCAGATTGGCGGTGATTTATTGTTAACTTACTTAATGTCGACGAGGCGTGAATTTTACAAATTTCTTATGTCTCTGAAAACGATTCCGCGACAAACCCAATGAAAATATTAAGAGACCACCACCGGAGCAGCAAAAATAATCGTTTTGGTGTAGATGTTCGTCAGTAACAATTAGCAAGTTTTCGTTCTTTTTTCACACTTCCGTATTATACGTACATATTACATTACATTCTTGTTTTTTATCTGAATTTATCGTTCAAATCCTTTACTTTGCATAAGGTAACCATTAGGGTGCTTCAAACAAAATTTTTAATTTTTTTTCTAACTTCCCTCAAATGTTTCTATTTGATGTAAAAAAAATCCTCGCCAAACATGAGCCTTATAGCTCAAATCTAAGGGGTCGCTATTTTTATTTTAGTTTCCCATTTAATTAACATAGGAAAAATTCTTTTTTGTTTTAAATGAATTTACACATAATTTACGCAATTTTTTCTACAAGCCGTTTCATATTCTCAAAGTTGAGTCTTTGAGCTTTACAAAACTCTAAGACAAAGTAT